TCGATTGTTAAGTCTTTGCAGTTACAGACCCCAGAGGCTATAAATACCCCCCTAGGGTCACTTCTGACGAGGATCGAGCATTTGTTAGAGCATTCCAGAGCAGAGAGAGCAGAGATTTGAGTTCTTTTCTTGCAACGCCTTGAAATTAAGCTTCGACTTGATTTTAAGAAGAACGACTATCTTACTTCGATAAGATATCGTTTCAATTTCTACTTCGATAACGAAGTTAGAATCATAAGCCCCCTCTTCACGATCTGTGAATCGGCGGTCCACGAACCAAAGCGTTCCCGGCACAGGCAAAGTCCCACGAAAACGAGAATTGATAGACGATTTTCGTGTTTGTTTCTCAAGAGTTGTAATTTTTGTTTTGTTGTGTAGAAAAAGTCTTATAAAAAGATTATTCTTTCGAATTTGTTGTAATCGAACAAAGTTATAATGAATTCCACAGCAGCGACTTTTGAACCAAACAAGCTGGCGACCACAGTGGGAGCCAGCGGCCTCGCTGCCGAGGCCGCGGTGTCGCAACCGATCAAGATCATCATCAATGAAGAGATCGAATACGAATTCGATCAGGCGAAGTTTGAGGAGTATTTATCATCCTCATCCGCGAAATCTTCCTCGTCTCGCAAATATAGGAAGATTTCGAAAAATTTCAAGTCTGCAATTCCAACGGAGGCCGCAGACAAAGATTCTGGCTCGATCGTTGTTAAGGAATCTCCTTGCAACGTCCCTGCTCAAAACGACTCTACACCAGTTACGGAGTCGTTGATCAATAGCTCACCGGTGCTGACGAAAAGAGCTCGTCAGAGACAGCGTCAGCGCCGTGCTCGACAATTGGCTAAGGCCATGCAACAAACCGACGGGGTCCATTACTATGCGGACCTAAAGTCGAGAAAACAGAAAATGACCCAGTTGCCTCAATGGCAAGATAATCATATTTCTGCAAAGCTTACGACGGAGGAATGGACTCTCGTCAAAAGGGCCCGTTCAACCCTTAAAGAACGGATACAAAGGCGTAAGGCGAAGGCTGCCCACGCTCGCGCTCTTCGTCAACGAGCGCAAGAAACCAAGAAAGAGGCGGTGACTGAAAGGCCACCGAAGAATCGTAAAGTCTGGATGCCAAAGACACCACAAGCATCTGTTCCGGGCCCGTCTACTGCAACACCAGTAGAACCCTGGGTTAGCCCAGATTTGTCCAAGTTCAAGATAACAATGGCAGATCGCCTTGGTCCTTCAGTTGATGATCGAGGCAAAGCCCCAGTCAAGGAACAACCATGTCCGGCAAATAAACCATTAATGGTTTCATATGCAGGGGGTCGTAAACACCCTCCTGTCAGAACTGCACAAGTCCAAAACGAGAGAATACCAGTTCACTCTCGTTTAGGACCTCTGAAAACTCCACACCCGCAAGGGGGTGGATTTAAACATTCAACTTTGGATCGCTCAGAGGCGACGACCAGTCGTCCTGTGCATGTTAACAAAGTTCAAAAGCGAAAGATAGGTTGCTCGAATCACAATAATGATGAGCTGTACTATCAGAAAGATAACTCAAGAAAGAGAGTTGTCAGAGAAAATGAGTCTCATTGCGCTTGCGAGAGACTCATTAAAGCAGTGTTGACAGAATGCGGATGCTCTAAGAATAATTCAACAAGAGTCTCCGTATTTCAAAGATTGTCCAATGAAGCGTCAAGACCCAAAACAAGACGTTTCAACAAAACGAAATCTGTAATCCGACAAGATGAGCTTCCTGAGGTCACTATCAACATGACCAATAAAGGAAAGCAAAAGTCAGTTAACTACGACCCTGATTTCTCTCCGGGAGGGAGAGTTGAGCGGGGTCTTTCTCAAAGGATGGCGCGGTTACAAAGAAGAGCCAACTTACGTCGAGATTACAGGAGAATGCACGAGGGTTTATCTTCAGATGAAGAATTGTCGGATACTTGTTCCGCTATTGCATCGGACGATACTGCATCCAGTGTTGGACGAGCCAGAGAATCATTCGCGATCACGCCGGATCAACTAGCTCAAATGCTGCAAGAAGCGTTGGCTAAACAACGCGAAGAAATTAGAGCTGAGTTCAAAACCGAAATGGAGTTGACTATGCAGCAGATGCGAGATTTGCAGGTGCAGCAACACCAACCGGAGTCGAGCCAGAAGGCGGAATCCAGCCGGCGTAATGAAGAGGATGAGACAATATTTGAAGATCCTCCTCCAGATAAAGACAACTCCGGAAGCGATCCGACCAAGTCAGCCACTCAACCTCCACAGATCTATTTGAAGAAAAGCGAGGAAGAGGACAAGAAGATGCACGATCTTGAGAGCAAAGTCAACGCTTTGATGACGGCTCAAGAAGTGAAGAAAACGGGCATCCCATACCCGTACCCGAGGGAGTGGGACCTGATTCCTTATCCCCAGAAATTTAATTTGATTAACTTTACTCCTTTTGATGGCAGGGGTTCACCAACTCAGCACTTGATCTATTTCAAGTCGCATCTCGGCGCAATATCTGGGAACGAAGCCCTGATGGTCCGGTCATTCGTAGGAACCCTTCGCGGGCCTGCCTTCGATTGGTACCGACGCCTTAAGCCTGGGAGTATCACTAGCTGGGCAGACATGGAAGAGTTATTCCTCACCAATTTCTTCGACGACGACACGGAAGTCTCGATCGGCACGTTGTTGGATGAGAAGCAGAAGGATGGGGAATCGGTTGATGTCTTTGTCAAACGATTCCGGGACAAAGCGGTGAACTGCAGAGATCCACTCACTGAGGAATTTATTCTGCAAACATGTCATAATAATCTGTCCTTGGATGTATTAGAAGTGGTGGGGGTTGTTCCCTCTAAAACTTGGAAAGAGATGAAAGTAAGAGGTGAACAAGCTGAACGCTTCCTCAAGAGAAAGAATTTGGAGCGAGGTTTGCCACCAGCTAATAATCAGAATCAAAATCAAAAGCAGAACTTTAACCCTCGAGGCAGAGGAAGAGGGTCTGTAGCCGCTGTGGACGCACATCAGACGTCACAACAGCCACCGCAACAACCGCAACAATCATCCTTCCAGTTGGCGCCAAACCAGAATCAACAGCCTTCGAAGCAGTTTAAGAATTCTGAGCCCAGATTCCCAAAGGAATTATGTGTAGCCGGCTTGAAGTTTATTGTTGTGAAACTTGCTTAGCGTCTTACTGTTTATGCACACTACGCTCTGCTTTATTATTAGAGAAGGAGCATCTGTGTTTGCTTCTAATTTATGATTTCGATGTTAGCTTATAGGTTCAGTTTGAGTACAGTTTATTGTCATCCACAATCTTTTACTACAGTGGTATCTGTAGATCTTAAGGGTTTCAGCTCTTTGGACGAAGTAGCCAAAGTAATGCTAACTCAACAAATATGAAACGAGAGTAGTCCTTTAGAGAATCTCAATGGCTTTCCGTTTACTTTGGCATTATTATTGTGAGTTGTATATACAGCAGAAAGTTTGAATTCTTGGGTTATGTTTGGTCTCTTTCGGTTAAGGTGTTGTTTTATTAATGATGATTCATTGATATTATTAGTTATCTCATTCCCCACACACTCACTCACACACCTATTACTTTACAGATTGATTCTCAGACTACTCGTCCACCTTCTGTTGTTTCTGCTAACACTACACCGACTTTTGCTCATCCTTCTCCGAACGCTCAGGTTCTACATTTGCTGCTCAACATTCTCCAGGATATTTCAACACAACCTCCTCTTGCTATTCAATTGGGAGGCGTGCTTGGGGGCATGTAAGGGGGCTTTACGTAGGACAGCCATAGCGAGGAGGACATTCACAAAGCTTTTGCTGATTATTTTCAATTAACTTAGTTGTGACTTGTACATTTTACATATTTAAGACATTTGTATATTTTAGATATCCTCTTTATATTTGGGACTTAAAGTAGTTTATAAGTTAATTGTTGTATTTTGATTCTAGTCGATCTTTTATTTTGCTTTTATGCATGGGAATATATATGTCATAAACAGGTTGCTTATGTATTCTTGTGGGAAATTAATTGTACGCGTGACAGGAGGAATTTGCAAAAAAAAAAATAATAAACTTGTGCAAGATATGCATCAACGGTCACAACCGTTGATGCAACTATCTGCACCAATGTTTCCCACTGTTGGTGCAAGATTCTGCACCAACGGTTCCAAAACTGTTGGTGCAAAAATTGCACAAACTGTTCCCACTATTGGTGCAAATATTACACCAGCGGTTATAATTGTTGGTGATAGATTTTTTTATAAATTATTTTATTTTTGATAATTTAATTGAATATTAACTTGTACCGACGATTGTAACTGTTGGGGTTGAGTTTAAACCCATTGGGAATGTTTCAGCTGCAACGCGTTTTGCACCAACGATTTTTTTAGCCCCAACGCTTGTAACAGTTGGGGACATCATTAGCCCCAACGGTTACAACTGTTGGGGTCACTGCTAAATAATGAGGTATCCTAGACGGAAAATTCCGTGTAGGATACCCAGAATTTCGTCTAGAATGCTTATTCTAGACGGAATTCTGTCTAGAATACGCATCTAGTATGTTTCCGTCTAGGATGTTGTATTCTAGACGGAAATTCCGTCTAGAATACATCCTAGACGGAATATTCTAGATGGAATTCAAAACCGTTTAGAATATATCCTAGACGGTTTATTCTAGACGGAATTTCCGTCTAGAATAATTCATCCTAGACGGAAAAAAATTCCGTCTAGAATGAGTATTCTAGACGGAAATTTCCGTCTAGAATACTCATTCTAGACGGAATTTGATGTTTTTTATTTTTTTTATTTTTTTGCTAAAAAAGGCATCCTAGACGGAATTTGAGCATCCTAAACGGAATTTTCGTCTAGGATACTATGCTACAGTATTTTATTTTATTTTTTGCAGAATCTACTTTGGGTGCATGTACACAATATTGAACAACAAAAAATTATATTCATATCCAACACAATCTAATTATATTCCAATATCAAATCCCATTATATTCAAATAATACATTCACCAAAATAGTAGAGAGATACATAAATTGTTTACAAACTTTTACATAAATTATTTACAAGAGGTTCTGTATGCTCCATCGCACAACATTGCGCATAATTCCTCCTCTTTGGAAAAATCGAGCAACAACAAAAGCTACATCCTCTGCGGGCCTGTGAGGATCTGGTGAATCCCAACTTTTAAACCTGTGAATACATATAATCATCAAAAGTATAATATAAATACAGAAAAAACATAAAAAATAAAAATATAAAAGAAAATTTTAGAAAAATATCCACCAGCCGGTCCAATTTTCTGTCCACATCTTAGGACTCGTTTCATTGTTTGGCTTGAAGCTATCACAATAAAAACCATTGCAAGTATTTATCTGATAAACCAAATAAAAATATAAGTTTCCCTCAAAAATATTAAAGTAGATTAAAAAAGTAATTTTATTGTAATAAAATTTTTAAAATACCATTGGTTGAGGAGCATCATCTTGTTGACACATAATCCATGGTTCACCAACATTGAGAGCTTCTGCCATTTGTGCACTCCACAAAACGTATCTTTTTCCAGCATCTTCAAAAAACTTATAATAATGATAATTATATAAAAATGATTATATAATTTTGACATTACCCATGATTCCTTCAAAAAACTTATAATAATGATAATTATATAAAAATGATTATATAATTTTGACATTACCCATGATTCCATTCAGCACAAACATAAGGACCAATACGCAAAATTGCATACATTCCAAATATACCTTGCTAGCTGTTCCATCAACAGAGGATCCTCCAGCGTAAAGAACACCATCTTGAATTTATAGTGCATGAATGGTTTGTTTCCCCAATAGCTTTCTTGTTCCTGAGTATAACGTAGTTGATGTGCATTTGGACAAATCCACTTCCTGCAGATTCACACACTCTGTCAGTCATTGTAAGGTAAAAAGTGGGAAGGCAAGTGAGAAGCCACAAATATTTGTTTGTCATGAATTAAAAAGTGGGAAGGCAAGTGAGAAGCCACAAATATTTGTTTGTCATGAATGCTTGAACGCAAAGCTTTATTATTGAGAAATTCACATTCATAATACAAGATCTAACTAAAAAATGATTATCTTTTAATCTTTTCTATTAAACAACACAAATTCGCAACATAACTATTGACAAGCTACTATTAATGTGTGATTGCTACTCATCTACAAAGGAAACACAAGTGTAAACAGAATTCACATTCAGAGTTTAAGCATTTTGTTCTCAAAGATGATTATGGGCATACCCCTGTCAAATTTTTTGCTGTCGATGTCTATACCGATGATACGAGAAGTAACCTATATTCCCAATGAATTCACAAGAGCTTGGGACACTCCTCAATAGATAGGTATCTAAGGTGGGAAAGAGCCTTTAGATCAGTACTATTACAACTGAGAATACAATATTGCATAAGTTTTATTGCATAAGTTTGTTCACAAGAGCTCTAGAAAGTCTTATTGCATAAGTTTGTTTTCACTGAAAATACAAAAAACCTCTTAACAACATGATGTTAACTAAGCATATACTAGAGCATCTCAACAAGTACTGTGATCTCAAAAGGTCATGACCAGACACCAGATTTCAGAAGACATTCACATAAGCAAGCACGACAATGATATAGCAAGAAACATGAAAATCATTAGCTACGTGTTCTATATAACTGACAGATTTGAAAATATCAAAGCAGGGACTAATACCACACGAACTTAAGAATTAACCCATCTTATTAGTAATTCCAGCGATTTGAAAAACTAATATCACAGCAAGTTAAGAATTAATTGGGAGACTTAATTAATAGCACTTTCAATAATCAAATTTAGGGAGTTAAGAATTAATTGGGAGCTCAACTTCACCTGCAGCTCGTCAACGCTCCCCTGATGCACGACCGACCCATCAGCCAGCACCAAAACCGACCCGAACATCTTCATGTTGGGAAATTACCCGGATTCCCCTATTGCCAGATTTGAGAGAAAGCGAAAAATAAATTGCGCAAAATTGGGGGACACGCAAGATTTACGTGGTTCGGCACAAAATTGCCTACGTCCACGGGCTGCTGCAGATCTTTCACTATTTGGGAGAAATTTTACAACACTCTCAATTTTTCTCACAACTCAATCCCACTCTGAAAATTGCTCACAATTTTCTCACAAAGACTTTTCTCTAAGCCTCTCTTTTCTCTCTCTTGTTCTTCTATAAGAGGAGTTGTTTCTGGGATGAGTTTTCCTTAAGAGTTTGGGGGCCTATTTATAGTGTTTGGGAAAACACTATGCATTAATATTTTATTAGTGGTGGGGCCCGCGGTGGGGCCCACGTACAATTTTTTCTTGCTCTGGGACCCGCTCACCTATCCTCTTCTGATTTTCCGGTGGCATGAGAATTTTGACAAAGCCGAAAGAGCCAAAGGCTCTTTCGGTGGCATGAGAAGTTTGACAAAAAAAAACTTTCTTTTGTGTGCTTTCGGTGGTCTGCACACATTCTTTGACTAACAATCTCCCACTTGAAGACTGATTTTAATCTGTCTTCACATCTCGATCTATGCAGCAGATCTTCCCGGTCTTCATACTATTGCAGGCCAACTGAAGCTGAACACAGCTTCAGTTTGTCAATAGTCACCGTCTTTGTCAGCATGTCTGCCGGATTTTGAGCTCCACTGATTTTTTCAAGCTTCAAAATTCCATCTTCCAGAAGTGACCGGATAAAATGATACCGCATCTGTATGTGCTTCGTTCTGGAATGAAAAGACGGATTCTTCGCTAGATGAATAGCACTTTGACTGTCGCAGTATAAGACATTGTCTTCTTGTTTCTTGCCTAATTCATCCAAGAAATTTTGAAGCCACACCATTTCCTTGCTGGCTTCTGTAACAGCGACATATTCTGCTTCAGTTGTGGAGAGAGCAACTATCTTCTGCAATTGAGAAGTCTAACTCACTACAGTACCTCCTAGAGTATATACATACCCTATAGTGCTCTTTCTGATATCAACATTTCCTGCTAGATCAGCATCTACATAGCCTGTTAGTATTGTATCTCCACCTTTAAAACAAAGTGCTTTACCTGTGGTGCCCCGTAGATATCTGAGGATCCATTTGACTGCTTCCCAGTGTACCTTACCTGGATCATTCATATACCTAGGGGTGAGCACGGTTCGGTTCGGGTCGGTTTTTACCAAAATTTGAACAACCGAACCGAACCACCTACAATTCAAAACCGAACCGAACCATTACAAATCGGTTCAGTGCGGTTCGGTTCGGTTTGTTCGGTTCTAACTTCATCAAGTATAACTTCACTTCAATTTATCTTTTATATATTCTTATTACCCTATGCCAGCATGTATTTATTTTTTAACTTCACTTCAATTTATTATTCTTGCTCATGTATGTATACTGTTTTTAAGTGAAGTAACTTGTCCTTTTGGATTAAATACTAGACTCTGACGTTGTAATTTTTTAGTAACGAACTTGCTTTGTCTTTGGGTAAACGGGTAAACGGGTAGGGTTTGAGGCAAGGGAATATATTCGGTTGGTTCGGGTCGGGTCGGTTTGAAAAATTGTCAACCCGACCCGAACCGTCTTACTCATAAAACCGCTTTTTTCGGGTCGGTTCGGGTCGGTTCGGTCGGTTTTTTCGGTTTGAACCGAACCGTGCTCACCCCTAGTCGCAACATCATCCCGGCGACCCCCAAACCTGGAAGCTCTGCTCACAATGATTCCTCCCTAATTAAGGAATCGTTCGATCAAAGTTCGCCAACTCTGACTAAGAGGGCTTGTCAGAGGCAACGCCAATGCCTCGCTCGTCAAATGGTTAAAGCATTGGATCAAACCGATGGGGTTTGTTATTACGCGGACCTAGAGTCAAGAAAGCATCGAGTGGTCCAATTGCCTCAACGACAAACCACTCATATCTCTGCTCAACTCACAATGAAAGAATGGACTCTTGTCAAAAGAGCTCGTTCGACCCTCAAAGATCGTATGCAAAAACGTCGTGCAAACGCCGCTCGTGCTCGTGCCCTTCGTCAACAAACGCAAGAAGGGAAGAAGGAAATGATGTCTAAGGAAGCACCAGAGAATCGCTGAGTGTGGATCCTCCTCTGTCTTCGGTGACTGTTCTTTAGAAAGTCTGAAATGAACACCTAAAGGTGTACCCACTGGTTTTGCATCTTGCATGTTGAACCTGGAGAGTACTTTGTTGATGTACTCAGCCTGTGATAACATCAAGGTCCTAGACTTCGTGTCTCTCTTGATCCTCATTCCAAGAATCTGCTTTGCAGCACCAAGATCTTTCATCGCGAACTGTTTTGACAATTTCTGCTTCAAATTTATAATCTCTTGCAGATCTGATCCTGCAACGAGCATGTCATCAACGTATAACAATAAAATAATGAAGCTATTGTTAAACCTCTTGATATAGCAATAATGATCTGCTTGGCATCTAGTGAAACCGTTGCTGCCCATGAAGTTGTCAAACTTCTTGTACCACTGCCTGAGAGCTTGTTTCAATCCATACAAGCTCTTCTTCAAACGGCATACTAGATTTTTCTTGCCTGCCTTTATGAAGCCTTCTGGTTGCTTCATATAAATCTCCTCCTCCAAATCACCATGAAGGAAAGCTGTTTTTACATCTAACTGCTCAAGATGTAAATTCTCAGCAGCTACAATTTTCAACACTAATCTAATTGTAGTCAGTTTCACAACCGGGGAGAAAATTTCATTGTAGTCGATACCTTCCTTTTGCTGAAAGCCTTTGACAACCAATCTTGCCTTGTAGCGCTTGTTCCCATCATTCTCTTCTTTGATCCTGTAAATCCACTTGTTATGAAGAGCTTTCTTACCTTGTGGTAATTCAGCTAAGTCCCATGTCTGATTTGACATGAGTGAGTCCATCTCATCTTGCATAGCAGACTCCCACTTGACTGAATCCTCCACCTGCATTGCTTCGTCATAACACTCCGGTTCACCACTGTCAGTCAGCAACAGGTAGTGCAAAGAAGGCGAATAACGCTGGGTTGGCTTAGGAATTCTGGAGGAGCGTCTCACTTCTGGCGTGCTTGGTTCTTCTTGAACTGCTTCAGGGCTAGTCTGAACATCTTTTTCAGAAATCTCCTCAAATTCAGCAAATTCCTTTGTTTCAGCTTTTGTACTGGAGCTACTTGATTCTGCAGTTGATCTGTCTTTGTACATCACATTCTCATTGAATATGACATCTCTAATTCTGATGATCTTCCAATTTTCATAATCCCAAAACTGGTAGTCAAACTCATCACCACCATAACCAACAAAACACATTTGTTAGATTTGGTATCAAGTTTATTTCTTTTAGTAGAATCTATGTGTACATAAGAGATACAACCAAAAATGGCATGTATCCTCATGCTTCTGGCACGTTCATTCAAAGTTCTGTTCATGCGCTCTGCTACGCCATTCTGCTGTGGTGTCATGGGAACTGTTTTCTCCATCTTGATCCCGCTGTTTGCGCAAAACTCTTTGAATCTACTGTCTTTGTACTCTCCTCCATTGTCTGACCTCAACTTCTTTATCTTCAAACCAGTTTCATTTTCCACCATGGCCTTCCATTTTCTGAAGGTATCAAAGACTTCTGATTTCTTCTTCAGAAAATAGACCCACAGCTTCCTTGTAGAATCATCAATGAAGGTGACATAGTACAGTGAGCCTGCAAGAGAATCAATCTTATATTATTTTTAATATACAATTATTAACAATAGTAATTTATACCCACTATTACCCCCACCAAATTATCCTACCAAATTATGCAACTTCATAATATTATTCACTATTATCCCACCAAATTATCCTATTAAATTATCTCATTCAAGAATTATCCATCATTGTTCTACTAAATTATCCCAGTGTTAAAAAATTATCCTACTTTACCAATTATCTCAGTTCTACTTAAAAAGTTCTAGGTGACTAACCTCCCCTAAGTTAGAGGTTAGAGTACCATTTTTCTTACCTCGAGCA